TGGGTTATTACAAAGGAAGAATTTAACACTTAAACCTTTCTATATGGGTTATTACAAAGGAAGAATTTAACACTTAAACCTTTCTATGTGGGTTATTACAAAGGAAGAATTTAACACTTAAACCTTTCTATATGGGTTAGAGGGGTGAGAGTGTATGCCATCATATTGTGAAGACTAACGATCAAAATTTTACTAAATTACTATTTTATGTATGTTTGTCAATAAATTTGAAATTAATTTGTAGTTTATAACTCAACTTTTAATATTATACATTATTCAATTTCTTAATTCAAAATTAAATGTTAAAAACATTACTAAATATCAATTCTTATGTGTTACATGGTACATTGTCTTTTGCTTTTGTTCAGATTACATTTTATGGCACTCACAGTACAATGTCTATTTTTTTTTATTGAATTACAAACTAAATTGCCAATATTGACAAGCTAGAATATAAAATAAGTACCTCCTACCTTTTTTATTTGCTGAGATATCATTATATTTAGTAAACCCGCCACATTGGCTCTGCCCATTACTTCATCTTTTGGAAATATTCCTACTTATCTTAAGTACATGTTTATAACCAGTTGAAAGTTCTCATTTTGAACTACATAATCCTGTCTGTTTTCCTGAAGTAGTTATGCCTTTATAACTGTTGGAGAGTTTGAAGTGTGATGATTCGGATCAGAAATGAGATTTTTTAGACCCAAATACAGCTTGGTTAGGAAGCCTGATAAGCTACGAGGGATTTTTGTGGTATCAGTTTAGTAGTTTATAGTTTTTTGTTATTTCAAAATGCATATATAAAATATGCAAAAATTAATTTTTTTTCTTTTACATCCTCCATGTGCGAAATTCGACAAGGCTTAGCAAGTATGACAGACGAGTGCAAAAAACTTCATAAAATCGTCACTAGTAGAGATCATTGTTTTCTATATGTTTTTTATTTACTATTTGATGTTTAAGAAATATAACTGAAATTTAACAATTTATTTGTAAATAATAATAATATATAGTAATGGAAATGTCACTGTATTTTACAAAATACTGGTACGTTAGTACTAAGACTAATAAGAGTAAGAGATTTGTAATTTTTTAGGCCAGTTTTACGTTATTCAATACGGTAATGTGAACTACACGTTCACTTGCAACTTGTCTGGCAGAATTATTAGTTAGACAAGGTTCAAAAGTCGTTAAAACTAAACAATTGATAAATATGAATAGATGTATATTCTTACAAGCTTTAAGCTGTTTAGAAAAACAACTGTAGTTTCCTGTTACGGTTTGCAGTCATTCTAGAAAGAAAAAAAAAAAGAGTAATTTAGATTTATTTCCTAATTTTTTTTATGGAGGTTATGAGGTCAATTTGACCAACCCTGTATAGAGTTAGGGTAAAGAAAATAACAGATAAAACTTAAAAGTTTTATTAAAATAAATGTTTGATATTTATTTAGAGATCAGACAAATTTAATTTGACAATTTTCAGATGAAGAAAAATATTTTTAATCTTAAAATCAAAATCACTTTGCAGGTTGGATATTCAATATTCATGGTCAAATCCTTAATTAAAATACTTGAGTAAAAAATTTGTTATTTTGTGTACAGAAGCTTTGTAATGTATACTAATAGCCTGCAAAATGCTGTGAAGATATGCAGACACTGTCAACTTATAGCATGATTAATCTCATTGTTATGTAGTAGGTGCTATTAGAGATATGAAAGATAATGTGTAAAGTGTTCATAAATTGAAAATATGCAGTTGTTAAAGCAGTGTTATGAACATTTAAAGACTCGAGAAAAATACGATTTAGAGGGGATGAATTAGTAGATTGGTAAGTTAGTGACATTGCTTCTTTTATGTTCTTCAGGAGACTTCTGTGTTCATCGTCCACATGATTGGAGCAATGATGGCATTTGGTATAGGCATGCTATATGCTTGGCTTCAGACGGTCATGTCCTACTATATGTTTCCCTTGGTTAACAGTCTGCTGGTGGCTCGGCTGAGGCTCGTTTTGTCTATAGTAAGCACTGTGTGCTTCATTATCTGTATCTTTTGTGTAAAGAAAATCATATCTGGTGTTGTAATGCCTTAAAATTCATTCTGAGAGATCACATTAAAAGAATAATGCTTGTGTTTTTTCAGCCCAACAATAAATACATAGAAATCTTAAAGCTTTCCAATATTATTAGTTTCAGAAAGAATGAGCTTTTAACTGCTACAACAAAACTATTAATAAAAACAATACTCTCCTGGTATATGTAAAATGTACAAATTAATTGTAGCATAATCAAATAATATTCTTTGATTTTAGGACATCCGTGAAGTTTTGCTGTAACCTGCCAGGTTGTTTAAGATGTAAACCTGAGCATTTAAAACGTTTTATGAGCTTTTTTTTCTTGAATTATATATCATTAATCTGATATTTGATACGATAATAATTAATCAATCATGTTATGTTCTTACATAGTTTGGGACAGTTATATTCACTCATTCTCATACTTATGGAGTTGTTTCTATGTGCAGGAAAGATTTTTAAAAACAATAATAGTATACAACTAAGAAGAATAAGTTGATCCATCAGTTAGTTAAGTTGATCCATCAGTTAGTTAAGTTGATCCATCAGTTAGTTAAGTTGATTCATCAGTTAGTTAAGTTGATCCATCAGTTAGTTAAGTTGATCCATCAGTTAGTTAAGTTGATTCATCAGTTAGTTAAGTTGATTCATCAGTTAGTTAAGTTGATCCATCAGTTAGTTAAGTTGATCCATCAGTTAGTTAAGTTGATCCATCAGTTAGTTAAGTTGATCCATCAGTTAGTTAAGTTGATTCATCAGTTAGTTAAGTTGATCCATCAGTTAGTTAAGTTGATTCATCAGTTAGTTAAGTTGATTCATCAGTTAGTTAAGTTGATTCATCAGTTAGTAAAGTTGATCCATCAGTTAGTAAATATGAGATTCTTAGCATTTTTTAAGAAGTTGCATATTTGTCCATCTTGCTTCATTTGTAAGAAGTTAGAAGTTTTTGTGTATGTAATTTGAAATAGTCGCTGCTAATTTTGAACTCTTGTTATTCAGATGTTTATCAGAGGTGTTTAAGGGTTGTGTGTTATTACGTTATGATTAGAAGCAGTTATGTTTTTAGAGCTTTTAGATTAAAGCTGTTATGGATAAATACTGGATATTTAGTGCATGGTGATTTTGTGATAACTGCCATACGTGAACTGTATGAAACTTGGTAACATTGTACTGCACACTTGGAGATGCTTGTGTGGTAGATAGCAGCACAGTATCGAACACTTTAAACGGATTTTCTTTGCTAAACTTTCAAATATAATGCCCTTTTGAATGGGGATGTGAGTTATCCTGGCTTCCAATGTCTCTGAGGATTTTCAACATTGTGAATTTTTTCCCTTCCTCTCGAAGGTAATTCAAAAATAACTCACCCAGTATATAGTAGCTTAACCCGTTAACTGTAGATGATTTCCGTCATTGAAGTTCTATGGCTCAGCTGCAAATGACAAAATATCCGTCAGTCGCACATATATAACTACAACTCTATGCGAATGACGAAAATTACCGTTTTATTGTGATTGATGGCAACTCAGTTTTATCTGTGAGTCAGAAAACGGCAACTGAGCTACTCCTGCAGCAGTTAATGGGTTAAGGAGACAGTGACTCAGGTGATATGTGGAATATTCCAGGACAAAATTCACAAAGTTATACACATTGACAACAAGGAAGGACATAGAATCCCTTAGATATGTAATGAGATGTTACCAAGTTTCTTGTCATACGACAGTTATTACAAAGTGTAGAATTATATAAAGTTTCCATATAAAGTATATGAAATGTAGTGTTACTCTTGTTTTATTAATGTGTTCTGTTATTTTATGTAAGGCAGAATTAAATACGTGTTTTCTTATGTGTTTTTTAAATTTCTTATAAAGTTTAATCAAACTAAAATACATAGTTATTAAAGTAACTAAAAATTTGGTCTACCAGAACTTTTACCCTTAACAAAACTTTCCAGTAAATGTAGCAACTCCTATATCACTGAAACAATTCCATGGAAAAGACAAGACTAAGTGGTATCCTAAAGATGGGGTGAGTATGATGAATCAAAATTTTTACATGTGACTTAACACATAATCACTCTTCCTTATTGGCTAAAACATGGGACATGTATTCGATGACGAGGAACCCACTTTGAGACTAATAATGGCTGGAGACGGCTTGAATGGGTAATGAAGAAAACTTTAATATAACAGCAAATGTACAATGTTTCGACAAGGTACCTGATGATG